TGGGCCCATCCCAAACTCACCTGAGCCATCCCTGACACACCTGGGCCCATCCCTGACACACCTGAGCTCACCTGGGCCCATCCCAAACTCACCTGGGCGCATCCCAAACTCACCTGAGCCATCCCTGACACACCTGGGCTCACCTGAGCGCATCCCAAACTCACCTGGGCCCATCCCTGACACACCTGGGCCCATCCCAAACTCACCTGGGCTCTCCCAGGTGGGCGTGGCCAGGTGTGGGCGTGTCTGACCCCGCCCCTCCCCCAGGTGCTGACGGTGGCCGGGAACAGCCCCAAAATCGACGTCTTCACCAACCTGGGCTACCGGGCGTTCTCGCTCACCTTCACCTGACACACCTGACACACCTGAGACCACCTGGGGTTACCTGGGGTTACCTGGACCTCACCTGAGCCCACCTGAGACTCACCTGAGACTCACCTGAGCTCACCTGAGCCCACCTGAGCTCACCTGAGCTCACCTGGACCCACCTGAGCTCACCTGAGCTCACCTGAGCCCACCTGAGCTCACCTGGGGTTACCTGGACCTCACCTGGGCTCACCTGAGCTCACCTGAGACTCACCTGAGCTCACCTGAGCCCACCTGGGGTTACCTGGACCTCACCTGAGCCCACCTGAGCTCACCTGAGCTCACCTGAGACTCACCTGAGACTCACCTGAGACTCACCTGAGCTCACCTGGACTCACCTGGACTCACCTGAGCCCACCTGAGACTCACCTGGGCTCACCTGAGACTCACCTGAGACTCACCTGGGCTCACCTGAGACTCACTTGAGATCACCTGAACCCACCTGAGATCACCTGGGCTCACCTGAGCTCACCTGAGACTCACCTGAGACTCACCTGAGACTCACCTGAGACTCACCTGAGCTCACCTGAGCTCACCTGGACCTCACCTGAGACTCACCTGAGACTTACCTGAGACATCTGAGACTCACCTGAGACTCACCTGAGCTCACCTGGGCTCACCTGAGCCCACCTGAGCTCACCCGAGACTCACCTGAGCCCACCTGAGCCCACCTGAGATCACCTGGGCTCACCTGAGACTCAGCTGAGCTCACCTGAGCTCACCTGAGACTCACCTGAGCTCACCTGAGCCCACCTGAGCTCACCTGGGCCCCCCCCCCCCCCGGTTTGATACAAACCCGAATTTTGTACAAAAACCACCAAAATCCGAAACTTTTATTGGCGGGTTTTTTTGGGGAGGGGGGAGGGGCGGATTTTGGGGGATTTTGAGGCGATTTTGGGCGATTTTGGGTGATTTTGAGTGATTTTGGGCGGTTTGGGGGGATTTCAGGGTGGTTTGGGGTGATTTTGGGGTATTTTGAGGCGATTTTGGGGGATTTTGGGCGGTTTGGGGGATTTTGGGGTATTTTGAGGCGATTTTGGGGGGATTTCGGGGCGGTTTTGGCGCGATTTTGGGGGGATTTGGGGGTGATTTTGGGCGGTTTGGGGCAGTTTTGGGGTGATTTTGGGGCGGTTTTGGGTCCTCCGGGTCGGCCGGAGCGGCGCGCGGGGAGCGCGGGAAGCGAAGCGCGGTCAGGCAGGACCGGAAGCTCGGTCAGGCAGGACCGGAAGCTCGGTCAGGCAGGACCGGAAGCGCGGGGAGCGCGCGGGCCGGCGGGACCGGAAGCCGCCTCAGCGGCACTTCCGGCGCGGCGGGACGAAGATGGCGCTGCCGGCGGCGCTGCTGCGGCGCGGGGCCCTGGCGGGTGCGGCGCTTTTGGGGCCGATTCCGCCGCTTTTGGGGCTTTCTGGGCGGGCCGGGAGCGCGGGCGGGGGGAGGGGAGGGGCGGGGCTGAAGCGCGGGGGGGGCGGGGCCGGCGGGGTCACCCCGGGAGCGCCGGGACGGCCCAAAACGGGCGGAAATCGCCCCAAAAGCGCCGCGAATTCCACAGAATTCCACAGAATTCCAGAGAATTCCAGAGAATCCCTCGGAATTCCCCACGACCGCCCCAGCATTCCTCCAAAATCCTCCAAATTCCTCCAAATTCTTGAGGATTCCACAAAACTGCCCCAAAATGTCTCAGAATTCCCCAAAATCCCCCCAAAATCCCTCAAATTTGCCCCAAAAATCCCTCAGAATTCCCAAAAATTGTCCCAAAATCCCTCAGAATTACCAAAAATTCCTCAGAATTCGACAAATAGCCCCAAAATTCCACAAAATTGCCCCAAAATCCCTCAGAATCCCCAAAAATCCCCAAAATAGCCCCAAAATCCCTCAGAATTCCCCAAAATTACTCAGAATTCGATAAATAGCCCCAAAATTCCACAAAATTGCTCCAAAATCCCTCAGAATTCCCAGAATTCCCCAAAATTCCCCAAAATGGCCCCAAAAACCCTCAGAATTACCTAAAAACCCTCAGAATTCGACAGGTAGCCCCAAAATTCCCCAAAATAGCCCCAAAATCCCTCAGAATTCCACAAAATTCTTCAGAATTCGATAAATAGCCCCAAAATTCCACAAAATGGCCCCCAAACCCCTCAGAATTCCCCAAAAATGGCCCAAAATCCCTCAGAATTCCCAAAAATCCCTCAGAATTCCCAAAATTCCCCAAAATAGCCCCAAAATCCCTCAGAATTCCCCAAAATTCCCCAAAATAGCCCCAAAATCCCTCAGAATTCCCCAAAATCTCTCAGAATTTGACAAATAGCCCCAAAATGCCACAAAATAGCCCCAAAATCCCTCAGAATTCCACAAAATTCTTCAGAATTCGATAAATAGCCCCAAAATTCCACAAAATGGCCCAAAACCCCTCAGAATTCCCCAAAATGGCCCAAAATAGCCCCAAAATCCCTCAGAATTCCCCAAAATCCCTCAGAATTCCCCAAAATTCCCCAAAATAGCCCCAAAATACCTCAGAATTCCCCAAAATGGCCCAAAACCGCTCAGAATTCCCCAAAATTCCACAAAATTGCCCCAAAATCCCTCAGAATTACCCAAAAAACCTCAGAATTCGACAAATAGCCCCAAAATTCCCCAAAATAGCCCCAAAATCCCTCAGAATTCCCCAAAATTCCCCAAAATAGCCCCAAAATCCCTCAGAATTCCCCAAAATTCCC